GGAATATGTCCCAAAACACACTAGAGAAAATCATTCTTTAAAAGATTATGGTTTGTAATGGTATTTGTAGAACCATTAGAATTGCTGTGGTTTCTATTGTTTTGTTTTGTTTCAGCAGGGTATACTGGGTCATGGGTGTGCAGGATGATTACTGACGTACAGCAGGGTGATCACACCGGAGTAAAGAGGTTAAAGTCTGCGTGAACCGGAAGTTGCTGCCGACTTTATTTCAGTGTAGTGACGTATTTCCATCTGAAACGGAATATTGAATAGAGGGCTTGGTTTTATGTTTGCGCTCCTCTTTGTCTCTCACTCATAGCAATCTAACGGTTGGATGGGTGTGTTTAAGCATATTCTGCCCAAGCCGTCAAACTGACGTCATCAGAGAAGGAATGCCATTCCAGAGCGGAAGTGAATGTTCAGATTTTGATTAAAGATTACCAAGACAAACATTTTTTTCAGCGGATTAACTTGCACGAATTAATTGTTCACATCAAGACTAGCAATGTGCGCTATAAAGTCAATTTTGATTTAATGCGGACTTTAAGGTATTTTTATGCTTTAGTACTGTCAGACAATTGCATACAGCACCATACAGAAAATTGCATACAGGATAATATATTCTGTTGGTCATATAATGTACATTATTGTTGCTTAGCTTCAGGTCCTGATCACCCTTTTAGGGTTATTTGTGATAACACCAGCTGAATGGACATTATTGCACTTATTACATGGCTGCACTCTTAAAAAAGGTTCTTAAATGGTTCTTTGGCAGGGTGTATGGTTCCATTAAGAACCTTTAATATCCAAAGAACCATTCCATTGCACAAAAGGTTCTTTGTGGCACAGAAAGGTTCTTTAGACTATTTAATGGTTCTTCACAGTCAACATGTTGTAAATATTTTTTTCTGGAAAGTGAGATCAAGTGAGCTAAATTGTCCTGCCTGGTCCAGAACTCATTCCAGACTCATTTTCTATTAGTTGCGTTCAATTATAGTTCAATATAAATTATTAAATTGAGTTGTATAAATAGTGTTGTGGTTTATTAGGCTAATTTAAAAAAGACCAGTAGATCAGTGCTTTATATCTATTACATCTATTTTAATGCTGTTTTGCATGACTCAAAAAAAATTTAAAAAAAAAATAAATGTAGGATTTCTGTCTTCAAAATGAGAAACCATTGAATCTGTGAGCAGACACAAACGAACATTGAATCTCCGCATTCCACCGGGAAAACTAAGGACTCTTAGGTCAATGTAATCTAGAATAGCCAATAAATTCGTGTTTCATTTTGTTGTCAATGGTTTATTGGAAGTTGCCTAACTTATTTAGCCTAAAATATGTGCTGTATACTGTTAATCGGTGACGTCACTTACGCGGAGCACGAATTAAATGAAGCTAACTGTCACGAATCCTGTCCATGAACTTCCGTCTGCTTGCCACCAGAGGTCGCCCTCCCATTATATTGACTCTCTCACCACACAGACTGTTACACATCACCCTGGACTACATTTCCCATGCTCCATTGCACTAATCACACGATCAGCTGCTACCAATTACACACACACAGCTGCATCCAATGAGACACCCTTTATAAGCCATGGACTTCCTCTCTCTCACTGCTGAGTATTGTTCAGCATTTATCGCTCACCTAGGGATAGCTACTTTACGGAGCCCTTCCAAGTTCATGAGTCTAGCCTTGTTCATAGTCTGTTTTCCTGTGATCCTAGCCTGTCTCGTCCTGTCTGATTTCTGCCTGCCCTGAAGTTTATAGCCTGTCTTGGATTTACCCTTTGCCTTGCTGATTCGGACTGTGTTTGCACCTCGATTGGATTATTGCTTGTTTTGGATTCCTCTTTTGTCTTGCCCTCTACATATCTGTTTGCTGGTGTCCGACTCTTGCCTGTGTTGACCATGCCTGTAAATAAAAGCTTGCATATGGATCCGCATGCCTCTTGTCTCATCGGCTCCGTTACACTAATGTTAGTTCAAATGTGTTTTGATCTTTCATGGTAAACAAATATTGATAAAAAATTGTTCTGTGGTTTCAGGAGTGATAATATAATCTTTCTACAAAAGAAGAGAAGCTCCAAGATTTCAAAATTTGTGAAGGGAGCTGCTGACAGAAATGCAGGAAACACAGGTGAGCACAGAAGAACATTAAATACATTCATATGCATTTTTTTCACAACATATTTTCTTGTATCACCATTCGTCTGTTATATTACAGTTCATTATAGGAAGGTTTTGACATCCAAACCTGAGTGACACAAACCTAAATGCATGAACGCTAATTCTTTTATTTTAAGAAATTGTTTGTGTGTGTGTGTGTGTGTGTGTGTGTGTGTGTGTCTGCTGATGGCCGTGCAGCAGATTTGCGGACCTCCTGTCGGACAACATCTCTAAGGCGCTATGAACCATATGACTAGTAAGTAAAAGCTCAAACATGCACTACTGTTCAAAAGCTAGAGGTTGGTATGATTTCTTTGTTTGTTTTTTTTTTTACGTGTTTTTATGTCAGTCCTCTGCTCACCACTACTGCATTTATTTGATTAAAAATACAGTCAAAACAGAAATATTGTAAAATAATATTATAATTTAAAATACTTTTCTACATGAATATCTGTTAAACTGTAATGTATTTCTGTGATGTGCAGCTGTTAATATGCTGATTTGCTGCTCAAGAAACATTTCTGATTACTACCTTTGTTGAAAACAGTTTTTGCTGCTTAACATTTTTATGGAAACAATACCATTCAAACATTTGTGGTAAGAAAAGAAAGAATACATTTGTGGTAAAAAAGAGAGTAATTCATTATTTTATTAATCAAGGGTGCATTAAATTTATCAGAAGTAACAGTGAAGACATTTATATTGTTGGAAAAAATTTATATTTACTCAATTGTTTAATAAATGTTGTTAATTGTACTTTCTATTCATCAAAAAATCCTGAAAAAATATTTTTATCTGTTTTAATAATCAGAAATGTTTCTTGAGCAGCAAATCAGCATATTAGAATGATTTCTGAAGATCATGCGACACTGAAGACTGGAGTAATGATGCTGAAAATACAGCTTTGACAAAGCGACCGTTGAAAATCACTTGAAATTTGTGTCAATACTTCATAAATAAAACGCACCAGCAGTTTTCTGTGGGGGATTTGTCGTGTCGCGCTGCACCGCGCCACACCGCATCCAGTGTAGACAGCATCACTCATTATAATGAGTTCTATATAGAGATGCACCGATTGCAATTTTCTTGGCTATTTCCGATTTTTCGTTAGTGTGATCTGCCGATACCGATTTTTGCCGATTCCTATTTTCTTTCTAAGAACTATAATTGACAGCATATACAAACAAAAATCTACTTTTCTTCAACGCACAGTTTTATTTTCATAAAAAACACAAGTAAAAAGTCAGTAATAAAATAAGAACACATAAAAAAATGGCAAATGTATTAATTAGGTGCTATTATGCACAGCAGAATGAACAACGCTTGTGTCTACTGTATGTGCGTCGCATGAAGATGCCATTCTGCTACTTCAACCCTCTACATTGCGAGTAAATCACTCGCATATGCAACTAAATCTTCACTCTGGGCGACTAAATGTCTAATATTAGCCAATGGCTAATAAATTCTCAGATTTTACTCGCCAGTGTGTGAGTTGGACGCTAAGTATAAGTTTAGCTCAGATATATTTTCACTCGCCGAACACTCTTAGACGGAGCGCTTCAGAGTTTCTCTCTCCAAGCGATCTGTGCTATTTTTCAGTTTATCTGAATGGATGTGCAACGCACCTGTATTTAACGTACCGTAAACTCTAGTGTGAAGCGCACGACTCGCCGTCGCTTTCTCACACACGCAGAGAGAGAGAGAGAATTGACACGCTACATGAAAACGATATTCTTTGTTGTATTTTGCTGTAAAAATAACGGAGATCCTTTGGAATTCTTCAGCTTTTAAGAACTACCGCTTTCTCCGGTAGTGGGCGGAACTAATGCACAAGCGACAATCTCATTGGCTGACGCTCACCTATTATCATCCCTGTTTTGATTTCAGCAAATCAGTTCGAGCGAACGCACACAACCTGATTAATATTCATGAATCCAGCAGCTCATTAATCCTTG